TATATGAAAGCCTGACTCACAGACGAACACAATACACAAGCCTGATAATGGCAGATGAGATTCTGCTGAATGTTGCTACAACTTTAAAAGCACAACTATAATGATGTGGGAAAATACCCAAACAAAGCTGAAAACCATACATACATACATATATATATGGATCTTTGGTTATTTGGGTTTTCTCCTGCGTAAAATTGGAAATATCTAGGCGACATTTCGATGAAGTCTCATTCATCATCTTCAGGCTTGTGTCTTCAGCTTTGTGCTTCTCTTCTGTCATCGCAAACCTCTACATGGAACACTTTGAAACACAAGCTCTAGAAAAATATGATCACAAACCCAAACTCTGGCTCAGATACGTAGATGACACCTTCATAATCTGGCCACATGGGAAAGAAAAACTGAACAACTTCCTCACACACCTCAACAGCCTACACCCCAAAATACAAAAATAAGCACTAAGCTGAAGACACAAGCCTGAAGATGATGAACGAGACTTCATCGAAACGTCGCCTAGATACTTCCAATTTTACGCGGGAGAAAACCCGAATAACCAAAGATCCACATACAAATACCCGCGAGAACCTCAGAATATATATACATACATACATATATATACATATATACACATATATACACATATATACATATATACATATATACATATATACATATATACATACATATATATATATATATATAGATCTTTGGTTGTTCGGGTTTTCTCCCGCGTAAGATTCGAAGTATCTAGGCAACGTTTCGATGAAGTCTCATTCATCATCTTCAGGCTTCTGTCTTCAGCTCTTGCTTCTCAGAGTGATGTGAGATTGCAGCTGCTTCTTCCTTTTAACTGCTAGTGGGGGTGGGACTTGATTGGGTGGGGGCTTGGCTGTGTTCTGATTGGGTGGGGGGGTGTTCTCATTGGTAGGGGGTTTGGCTGTGTTCTGATTGGTTGGGGGGTTGGCCGTGTTCTGATTGGTTGGAGGCGTGTTCTGTTCAGGTGGGGGCTTGGTTGTGCTCAGGTTAGTCTTAGTTGCTGGGGGATTTGAGTTGGTGAGCTGTGATCTTGCTGTTTGGCTTCGAGTTCGTGGTCGTGCTGCATCTTCATAGTGGGTGTCGGTTTGCTTCATGTATGGCTCGGAGGGGTTTGAAGTGGGTAGTGATGCAGCTGCAGTGCAGCTTCTGGTCCATGGTCGTGTCTCATCTTCTGAGTGGGTGTGAGTCTGTTTTTCCAGCCCTCGCTGCCTCTCCCAACATCAAAGCCTCGGAAACACAGGCAACGGTGGTAGTGCCCTGAGTTGCTTGCTTCTCCTCTACTGCCTCCTCCTCCTCCTCCTCCTCCAGCACCTCCTTCTCTGGGTAGGGCGATTCTTAACTAACCAAGCATGCTAAGGCAACTCAGGACGCTACCGCTGCGGCGGCTTTGCTTGCATCTCCGAGGCTTTGATGTTGGGAAAGGCAGCGAGGGCTGGAAGAGCGGAGAGCTGCACATGGCTCCGGCTCCCTTTCCTTGCCTGCCTGCACGTGGGGGCGGGGGAAGGAAAGAGAGGCAGGAGCAATTCAAAGCTAGAGGACTAATGGGGAGAGCTAACAGTGGGTGCTGGGGGTGGGGACTGTTGTTGCTGCCGCCGTGTGTGGGAGATGGTTGATGAATGCATCTCAGGGACCTGACTCGGGGGTCCCTCAAAGATCTGGGAGGTGAGAGAACTGCACGTCCCAGATTAATTGCTTTTGGGGGCAATTTCTTCTGTGGCCCACCAAAATTTTTCATGGCCCACCAGTTGGCCGAGGCCCACCGGTTGGTGACCACTGGTCTACAGCAGGAATTCCTGTTATCTTTCCTTACATCAATTAATACATTATTATTAATACAGTGTATTTTGCAAACCATTATGCAAGAAAGCCATTTTAACATATTCGTGCTTGAGAAGGATAGCAGCAAAGTAATCAATCAATATTTAGATTCCATATTCTAACTGCCAAACATGCAAGCAACATTTGCTCACCTTGATCTCTGCAAAAGTTTTGTAAGGCTTGAGGTTGAGGATGAACGAACTAGAGTCAGATGGTCATTTCATAAACATAAAACAGTCTCTTGTTTTCAAGCAAGCAAGGTTTGCTCCAAATATATATTAAATCAGAATGATGGGAAGAACAAACCTCAAATTTAAAGTCTTGAGTGTATCAACCTCATTTACATCTTTGCACTTACAGGTAGAAATGATCCATTATATGAGGCTTCATTCTTTTTTTTCAATGAAGATTTTGATTTAACTGATCCATGTCTTGAGTTTTCAACTAAGACAAGCCAAGATGTCAAGCTAAGCAGGAATTGTCATGAAACTTAAATCTAAGCCCAAGTTGGGAAGCCTGAAATGATCACAGTTTACATTAAAATAGTATGGTATTATACAAAGATGCCTGGGAATTAAATTACATTTCAGACAACGCCCTAATGCAGCATTCTTTATAATATTAAATATAATGCAGAAAAATTACATGTATCTTAATTGCAATATCACATATGTATCTCCCCTGCTCTTTAAAACACCAGCAAAGTTGTCTGGATTTCCAATTGGAAACTTCTGATTACAGTAATTAGAAAATTTTGTAATTAGTAATTTTGTTTAAACAAAATGTCCAGCCATCATTATTACATAGGAAAGGAGGGTGGGAGAAGGAATAGGAAAGGAAGGGCTGAGGAAAGGAGAAAAAGCAGGCTGGCTTTACAGGCTGAGAGGCAGAATCGGTAGAAATGTTCAGTAAAGGAAGAGTAGGCATTCCTCTTAATACTATGCAATGAAACCAACAAGTAAATTCATGGCTCCTAAAAGTTAACCACTGTAAGTTCTTTATTGTCTGGTTTCAAAGTCCCAAGATAAGGTAATATATCACACACACAACTTGTAGGAAGAGAAAAAAAAACCACAAAGAAAATTGGAAGAAGGAAAAGGGTGGGGGAAGAAATAGTTTGGTAAACTATTTCTGATATTGTATTTATTTAGTAAATTTATTAGCTGCCCATCTCATACACATGATATGAATTTTTGAATCTCTATGTATTTCTAATAGAATGATTGAGTGTGTCCAGGTGCTTGGCAGCTTGCACAGTAAAGAAAATTAAAATAGCCATGGTTAAAGAAATCCCAAACAATAATGGGATGCAAATGTTTATGGTGGCAGAGAATATTTCTATGGAGTTAAACAGCTGGTGCAGAATATTTAGGTAGCTCTCCCCAGGTGTTGGAGGGAGGAGCATCTCTAAAACACATTAAATACTCCACAGTTACAGAAATTACTTGTACAATTTCTTTTGTATTCAAATATACAGTAGAATATTTTCTTTCAGAATATTTCTATACACCGACACAAACAATAAGCTGTTACTGATCTATAGAATATCACAAGATATTTAATTCATCACTGTTACTGTATCTGTGAATTTGAACTGATGGCTATGTCTACAAGAAATGCTTACACTGATCTTCTGATCTTTTAGCACTGGTAGATGTCCTAAAAGCAGTAAAATAGTAGAAAAGTGAGCATGTTTTTAATGTATCTAAAAGCTGCAAGCGCAAAGAAAATGGACTGATTTGTGCCACAATGAAGAATGGTCCAACTGATTTGTCATCCAACTGCCTATTTTTAAAAAACAGTAGTGTGAAACATTTCATATGAATTAATTTTTATCATCAACAAAAATAAAACATAGAATAAATATATGCTAAATTGTCTTGCATACAGAATGATATAATGTATATATTTCATTCTTTTACCCCTTTCTTAGATCGCATTTTTTGAACCAGTTGATGGACAAGACAAACTAGTGAAGAAGTGGGGATTTAAAGCATCTGATATACAAGAGCTCAGTAATAAGTATGCATTTGTTCTATGTTACATTCTCAACAAATTATTTGTCTGTATTTTTTTCAAGAACAAATTGTGGCTATAAATCTAGTTGACTAAAAGCAGAACAACTGGTGGCACCAGTTTAGATATACAGTAATAGCAAAGAAGCTAAGGACAAAGCCAAATAGGATTAATGAAATACTATGCACCACTACAATTGTTTTTATTGTGTTAGAAAAGGATCACTATGCAAGAATTTAAATCTTAAATGTCCTGAGACTTTGTAAGATTATTTCTGTTGATTCTTGTTTGTTCTTGTCCTTTTTTACTTGGCTGAAAAAAATAAATCCATTTATGTAACTTCCTTTCCCTTCCTTTGCCATGAGCCATTCCAATTTATTAATATTTTATGGCTTTCTAACTTAATAAGAGTTGTACAGGCTTTGAAACTATTGCAGAAATGTTTTGGACATTGTTTGGTCTTGGGGGGGAAAGTCACACAACTCATTAAAGCAGCCACATCTTTTTTAAAGCTTCAACCTATAATTATATTTATGAACATTAGAGGGAGGCTCTGCTGATGGGAAATCTGAAACACTTCTGAATAATTTGCAAACTGTGTGCAACTCTATTATTAATCAGTTGTATCATTTGATTATCTATTTAAACTATTTCTGTAATGCATTGCACAAAAAAATCTCCTAACAATTTGCACTTAAGAGAAACTGTTCAAACAATTGATAAAAATTTATATTAAACACTGTATAAATGTACAATAATAAACCCTCTCTCTCTCACACACACACATACAGACACACACCAATACAGTATTGATGTCAGCTTGGAGTTTATCACAGCTACTGCACATGGAAAGACATAAAGAACATTTATCTTACAGCTTAAGCTGCTCCTGGTTTAAATAAGCTTAAGAAAAACATGTTCCACTGAGACATTGACCATTCATTCCAGAATATTTGCTGGAATGTTCATGAATCACATAACATGCAATGTTGACAATAATATACAAAATATATGGTGTAACAAAAAAAAAATCTTTTTCAGCTGGTTCAGTATTATGTAACTTAAGGAATTATCCTATGATGGGCACAGACTGCCTGCTGGTATGGATTATGAAGTCTTGATATTACAATTGCCACAATCTTACTCCACAAGAAATTATAATTTGAAATACTTCGTATTTAACTATGATACCAAGGATTCCTTTCAAGAAAAATGTTATTATCTGAGCGTGACTTGATGTTTGAACCAAAAACTATCCAGATCTTTCATTCCTTCTCTGTAATTTATATCAAAATGTCTTGTCCATTTTTGTGGGTAGAGAATGCCAGGATGTCTGTCGACTATGTCAACCAATCAACAATTATTTTTACTACACACTCATGTTAAATCAATGAGATTTCCCAGTTTACTGCACAGTATTGACAAGTTCTTCAGCTGCCCTACTACAAACTACAATTGCTTCTATCAGCAGACTGAGCAGAGTGTAACTTGCCACTGGAAAGCACGATTTTAGGCAAATCCTAGACCAGCGTTTCTCAATCTCAGCAACTTTAAAATGGATGGATGGCGGTCAGAGGAATTATGGGAACTGAAATCATCCCATCTTAAAGTAGCCAAGGTTGAGAAACTCTGACCCAGATGATTACACTGCAGGATTCAAGAGGGCTAAAACTAGTACATAATAATTCTGAACATAATTGCAATAAATTCTTAAATACTGTGCAAGTCATCCGTTTTGATTGAAGCAGTTTATTTTGGGCATAATCCATGTAGCATCTATGACAGCTTATTTATGTTTGCAGTGACTTTCACTTCATTAGCAGTGAACAGCTTTTTAAAATAAACACCTTGATATGCCCTGTAAAGAAAGAACAAAGAACAAGGAAGTTACACAAGAAACACTGTGTGTCCTTCAGTACATTTTAGATAGCATGACTTCTGGATAAGATTTCTTAATAATTGTTTATAAAAAGCCACCAGAAGATAAATCATATGGAATTATTATATGATTTATAAAACCATGATAAATAGTTTAAGATTGGTGTTCTTATCAATTAGCACCAGATACTCAAAAAATACAATATACATAAATGATAACAATGAACTAAACAATGGCAGAAGCAAAACTAACCCCCCCCCCATACTTCACTTAAACATCCAAAATTTGCCATGTCAGCATCGTTGCTATGACTTCTCATTATCCACTGCTTCTGGGTGCAAAATTAACCAGAAAGGCTGAATTATAAGAAAGGCTTACAATACAGGTCTATTGTTTCCTGGCTAAGAGCCTCTTTTTCAACTTGAAACCACCCTGATGCACTCAGGGGCATCCAATCTCTGCAGCTTTAAGACTTATGGATTTCACCTTCCAAAATTCCCCAGCTTGGAAATCCAGGGAGTTGAACTCCACAGGTCTTAAAGTTTCCAAGGTTGGACACCCGTAGGCTACTGTTTTCTAACCAGCTATGATATATATATGGTCTTCAGGTCAGTGGTGGTATTCAATTTTTTTTACTACCGGTTCTGTGGGTGTAGCTTGGTGGGTGTGGCATGGCTTGGTAGGTGTGGCAGGGGAAGGATACTGTAAAATCCCCATTCCCTCCCCACCCCACCCCACTAACTTGCTTTCCAGCTCCGTTCTCCTGCGCAGGGCAACAAAAGGAGTCCCAGCTGATCAGCTGGGACTCGGGAGGCAGCTGATCAGCTGGGACTGGGGAGGCAGAGAATAGATGGGGGCAGGGCCAGTCAGAGGTGGTATTTGCCAGTTCTCTGAACTACTCAAAATGTCTGCTACCAGTTCTCCAGAACTGGTCAGAACTGGCTGAATACCACCTCTGCTTCAGGTGCTTTGATTTCAAGCTAAGATTATTTCACAAGCATAGTAAGACATCCAGGTGAGATTTGATTAGGGCCTCTGAAGAAGCAGAAGAAAATGATACATGATAATATCATAACACAAATACACACTTGTGTCAGACATCATCATGATGTAATAGTGTACTGTATGTAACTGCAACATTTGTGTGATTACATCATCATGAATATATGATGTTAATATCACTGTTACTGAAATCACTGGATTTAATAAAATGAAAATAATAACATTGGAAAGTTGATGTGCTTGTTTCTCATACTTTTCTTTCCCAGTGAATTCTTCATGCCAGGTTTGGTTGATGCCCATATCCATGCCCCACAGTATTCCTTTACAGGGATACGAGGAAATATGACTCTTTTGAAATGGTTGGAAAAAACCACTTATCCAGTAGAGGCTGAATTCAAAAAAATTGATTTTGCTGAAGAAGTGTACACTAGAGCTGTGGTAAGACAGATCTGTCTGTCTGCTTGTCAGTTTGTCCCATCTATCGTACCTCTTTTCCTTATCACCATAAACATCTTGGGGTTCTTTCCCTACTATTATTATGTTTTACAATTATATATACAAAAGATTATTTGGGAAAGGTTATGCTGAATTTTATATAATAATTTGATAATCCTTTATCTCTTCTTCTGAATTCTTCATTTCTAATTCAATACAAACATACAAAGAAAAAAAATCTTCCTGATTCCTTATGGTTCAACATGTTGAACATCAATAAACAGGAACAATTGGAATATACAGTATAATAAACATTATTCTAAAGCTGGAATAATTAAGCCTCTATGTTTAATTGTCCTAGATAATTCAAACATAAGCAAATAAAGCTTAAGATTGCTTTAAAATTGGCCTCCACTTTCCGGGTTTTTGGAAGAACATTAAGATCTGGCTCTGTAAATTAGCCTGGATACCCAAGAGTGGAACGCAACCTGGGGGTGGTTGGTGGCTTGAGAGTGCTCTTTCCATCTTTTCAACTTTGTCTATTTCTGTAGGATTTTACGGTGTTGATTTGTAAACCACTCAGAGTCACTTAGTTTGTAAGATGAATGGCATATAAATTTGATGAATAAAATAAAATAAAATGCAAAACTCGGTTGTTTGGAAGAAGTCCCACTGAAGTCAGAAAGATAAAAAAACTTGAGTAATTATTTGGACTTGATTTCAGGAAAGCACTGCAGAACGGACACTGCATCCATCTGCAGCTCTTTAAAATAGCGGCAAAGATCAACTGTAGAATTCTGGGGGAAAAGCATGCTTCCTTTAAAGAGCTCATACCATGCCATTTCTGAAACAGCTTTGAAGAATTAAATACAAAATGCTGCCTAGCCTTAATGAATACATGTTTATGCAGCTGGACATCAATTTTTATACAATTAGTTTTGCATGGAGTAGTTTTCAACTCTTTAAATACATATGGATGATGTCCTAGTTATTACACCTGATTTATAAAACAGGAAAGGCTAAGTAAATATAATACTGTTGTTTTGATAAAATACTTTATGAAACACTTATTAGATGCATGCATCATTTTTAATCTCTGCTCATGATATAGCCATTTTTAAGTGCAACTAATCTCAATGCTGAAACGGGGCATGCAGTTTTTTTTCTCTTTGAAATTTGTGAGATTTTAAAAAGGGTGCCAACTTTGAATAGATTAGATTAATGAGAGGTTAGAAATGGAATCACAGTTTTGCTGCTTAGTGTCCTTTAAATACGACGTAGTCTTAGTTCTATAATCAATTTAAAAATGACCAATCCTATCACTCTGCTTCCCTTTAATATACACTCTTCTTTGCTTTTCTTCTATTTTCTCTGCGAAATCGAATCCTTCATTATATGAAAAGACAAGATACAAGTTGATATGATTTGTAAAAACATAAATTTCAGGAAAAAATTAGGACAAATTAACACAGTTGTACAAAGGAAAAAAAATAAAATGGGAGTCTAAAACTGTACATACCCACATATTAGTCATTCAGATTAAACAGAGATAAACCAGCTATTCTGATTTATCACTGGCTATATTTGCACAGTGGATTTGTTTCACTGTGATTTATTGAATAAATTATAATGCTTAACAATATGCTAAACTGGAGGCAAGAAACAGCGTATTTGTTTTGCATAATTTGAACTAAATCTTTGTACAGGAAAAAGAATAATAGTTTCTGCTTTGTTTGCTGAAGGCCATAATTGAATCCTTAGTAGTTCTCAAGAGACAGAAGGGAAGAAACATGCCCGCCAAGGAAAGCTAGAACCCTAGGACACGTTAGTTAATGTTAATACACCACTAAGACTTTTTTAAAATTAGATGACATGAGGTAGTATAATAAAGGTATTTTTTCTGTAATTTCTATAATAATATTTTTGTCCTGCCAGTTGTCCTTGATTATATAGATATGACAGGTTTTTTTTTTTAAGAAAATGGTAGCATTATTCAGTGCATTATTCTTTCCTGAAACAAATTAATTGTGTGGGTTTTTTTTCCTCTATAGAGGCGAACACTCAAGAATGGTACAACTACAGCTTGCTATTTTGCCACAATTCACACAGATGCTGCTTTGCTTCTGGCTGACATTATAGGTAAGACTGAAAGATTGTCAAGAACTTTTAGAATGGGCTAGCAGAAAATAAATTGGGATTTATTGGTCAGTGATTAAAAGTAGATTGGTAAGCCTTTCTGAAGTGCAATTATCTAATAATAACAATAATTAAAGTGTATTTCCTTCTCAAATTAGTTGCCAGTAAAAGAACGCATGAAGGAAAATCAGGACTACTTTTGATTTCAAATTCCTGGACTAAGTGTATGAGGCATCATATTTTTTTTTTCTTAGTATATGTCTGTGTGCCCACATGACTATTTTGTATTTGGTTTCTGGGTTAGTGGAATCTAGATTTATTTTCTGGAGTCATAACTCATTCAAGCTGTACGTTCTGCTTCAACGGCAGTGAATAAATCTGGGAAGCTTCCCAACTAAATATGAAAATAGTTATTCTTTGCTCTTAGTCTGTGAAAGCTGCGTATCAAAAGCTAACATAAATTCATCTAATCACCAAAAACAAACCAACAAATCCCAATTAAGTTTATAGTTTTCATCCTTATGAGAAAATATTTCCATAAAATATGCATTTTTCTACCGTTATTTTTATTTACTTCCTACTACTTATATAGCATTTTTTTCAATGTTTGAAATACTTTGTTTTGCTTTCAATTCCTCTAAAAGAATCTACACTGTGTATAGATGAAATAAGTTTTAACTAAGGAACTTATAACTCACATCTCACAATGGTAACTATATTATGTTATATCCTATATTTTGTAAATGCTTTTGGGGGTGGGTGGGACTGTAATAATGGTGTGACTAAAGGATACAAATTACACAGAGAGATAATCATGAAGTGCACGGAACTCTTCTATTCCATTCCAAATGAGTGCCTGGAATTGTGTGGTATGTTGTAATGTCAGAATTTATTGGCATTAAAAAAAAAGACTTGTTGAAAATGAGGATCAAGAAAATTATTCTTAATCTTGTTCTCCTTCTTATCTTGTAGATAAATTTGGCCAGAGGGCATTTGTGGGTAAAGTTTGCATGGATATCAATGAAAGCTTCCCAGAATACAAGGAAGCCACCAAAGAATCAATTGAGGAAACTGAAAGGTGAGCCAGGTAGTTCTTCCTGTATAGAATAGAATACTTTTTATTGGCCAAGTGTGATTGGATACACAAGGAATTTGTCTTGGTGCAAATACTCTCAGTATACATAAAAGAAAAGATACATTCGTCAAGAGTCAAGAATCATAAGGTACAACACTTAATGATAGTCATAGAGTACAATAAGCAATCAAATCATACTAGGAAACAGTCAATATAAATCGTAAGGAAACAAGCGACAAAGTTACAGTCATACAGCCACAAGTGGGAGGGGATGGGTGATAAGGAGTGATGAGAAGGTTAACAGTAATAGTAGTGTACACTTTGTAAATAGTTGAACAGTGTTGAGGGAATTATTTGTTTAGCAGAGTGATGGCTTTCGGGAAAAACTGTTCTTGTGTTTAGTTGTTCTGGTGTGTAGTGTTCTATATCAGTGGTTCCCAAACTTTTCGGTCCAATGTCCCCTTGGTGCTACAAACTCATCCTCGGTGCCCCCCACCCAGGGGTGGGATTCAAATTTCTGTGGGTGTGGCCTAATTTGAGGGTGTGGTTTGTTGGTCACATGACTGGGTGGGCGTGGCTTGCTGGTCAGTGACTGGGTGGGCGTAGCCAGGTGACTGGCAAACCAAATACAAGTGGTCCTCACTTTATGACCAGTTTTTTAGCAAGTGTTCTAATTTATGACTGGCCTCCCCAGAGCTACTTGACCAGTTTTTGGAATTTTGACAGCTTTAGATCAGGGGTCTAAATCCCACCCCTGCCTGTGTGTGTGAGAGAGAGGGAGAGAGAGAGGTTGGATCAGATCTCTCTCTCTCTCTCTCTCTCTCTCCTACCAACACCAGAAAGCCACCGTCAGTCAAAATTCATATTAGTGGTCTCCGGGATTTAAAATTATGAGTTTGGTGGTCCCTGAGGTCCAAAAGTTTGGCGACCCCTGATCCTTTGGATGAGCCTGAGAGAGGGAAAGAGAGAGAGAAAAGAAGGAGGGAAAGAAAATAAAGAGAAAAGGGAAAGAAAGAAAAAGGGACAAAGAAAGGGAGGGTGGAAGGAAGGGACAGAAAGAAAAAGAAATAAAGAAGGAGGGAGGGAGGAGAAAGATAATGATATATCTATTCCAGTCCAATCACCTGCTCCAGCAGGGTTAGAAGGGAGTGTGTGTGTGTGTCTGTTCTTCTTGTAATTTACCAGTTTTGCCTTCTTCAGAATTGGCACTGTAATACATTGGGAAAAGTAATTTTTAGGGTGGAGATCTGGTCCAATGGATCCTGTTTAAAGCCTCAACAAAATGTGAGAGCTTCCTGATAGTCTTGACCATGTTTCGTCCACCAAACCTTTAATAGCAGCCAAAGAGGTTTCAATGTGCTGGCAAAGATTTTTCAGTGTGGAAAAGGGCCTCAGTCTAAACTAGGCCTCATTCAATCTGATGCATCAGGTCTCGCTCTCTCTGTCTCTGTCTCTGTCTCTGTCTCTCTCTCTCTCTCTCCCTCCCTCCTTCCCTCCCTTCCTCCCTCTCAGACTGGCTTTGCTCTACTTTCCGGATGTGCCTGCGGGGCTGGCAGTTCGAACATGGATGGATGGATGGATGGATGGAGAGAGAGAGAGAGAGAGAGAGAGAGAGGCAGGAAGGCAGGCAGGCAGGCAGGCAGGCAGGCAAATAGATAGACCTTTTGGATGGATGGATGGACGGATGGACAGACAGACAGAATGCGACAGCGGCAGCACTTTGGGAAAGCGGTGGCAGTGGCTTTTCCCAATGTGCTGCCACATTCGAGGTACCGGTTCTGGAGCATTACTACAGTCAATGGGTGAACCTGCAGGGCCAGCGCCTCGAACACCCCCTGCTGCCTCTTAGCATCCCCAAGGGAGCCAGCGGAGGTGGGCTAAGAGGCAGCAGGAGGGCGTTCGAGGCGCCGGCCCTGCAGGTTCACCCATTGACTAGCACTACTCTGGAGCTGGTGCCTCCAATGCGGAAGCGGTGGCACACGTTACATGCTGCCATGGCCGCATTTGCTCTCTGCCACCTCTTAGCACCCTTCTACTGGCCCACTTGGTGATGCTAGGAGGTGACAGGGCACCGGCCCTACAGGTTCACCCACTGACTGTAGCATTGCTCCGGAGCTGGCGCCTCAATGGGTGAACCTGCAGGGCTGGCTGGTGCCTTGAACGCCCCCCTGCTGCCTCTTAGCACCCCTCTGCTGGCCCCCTTGGGGACACTAAGAGGTGGCAGGGGAATGGTGCATTGAACGCTGCCATGGCAGCACATAACGTGCCACTGCTTCCACATTGGAGGCGCCGGCTCTGGACCGGTGCTACAGTCAATGAGTGAACCTGCAGGGCTGGCACCTCGAATGCCCCCCTGCCATCTCTTAGAGCCCCCCTGCCAGCCCCCTTGCCTCTTAGCACCCCCCTAAGGCATCCCACCGCCCCCCAGGGGGCGATACCGCCCACTTCGGGAACCACTGCTCTATAGCATCATTTTGAGGGAAAGAGTTGAAACAGTTTATGTCTGGGATATGAGGGGTCTGTAAATATTTTCACAGCCCTCTTTTTGATTCATGCAGTATACAGGGCCTCGATTGAAGGCAAGTTGGTAGTAATTGTTTTTTCTGCAGTCCTAATTATCCTCTGAAGTCTGTATCTGTCCTGTTGGGTTGCAGAACCAAACCAGACAGTTATAGAGGTGCAGATGACAAACTCAATGATTCCTCTGTAGAACTGGATCAGCAGCTCCTTGGGCAGTTTGAGCTTTCTGAGTTGGCTCAGAAAGAACATTTTTTGTTGTGCTTTTTTGATGATGTTTTTGATGTTAGGTGTCCATTTTAGGTCATGTGATATAATAGAACCTAGAAATTTGAAGGTCTCTACTCTTGATACTGTGTTGTCCAGTATTGTAAGAAGTGGTAGTATGGGAGGGTTTCTTTTAAAGTCTACCACCATTTGTTTGGTTTTGAGTGTGTTCAGTTCCAGTTTGTTCCGGTTACACCACAAGGCAAGTTGTATAACCTCCTGTCTGCATGCGGATTCGCTGTTGTCTCAAATGAGACCAATCACTGTTGTGTCATCAGCAATCTTCAATATTTTAACAGATGGATCACTTGAGATGCAGTAATTGGTATATAGGGAAGAGAGAAGTGGAGAAAGCACACAGCCTTGGGGGGGCCCTGTGCTAATTGTACAGGTATCAGATGTGATTCTGCCTAGCTTCACCTGCTGCTTCCTGTCGGTTAGGAACCTTATGATCCACTTGCAAGTGTGTTCAGGTACCCCTAGTTGGTTTAATTTATTTAAAAGTATGTCTGGACTGATGGTATTGAATGCTGAACTGAAGTTTACAAAGAGGACCCTTGCATAGGTATTTGGATATTCAAGGTGTTGTAGGATATAATGCAGAACCATATTAGCAACATTTTTAAAGCATGATGAAAGAAAGAGGACATGGATTACCAAAAATTAAAGCAAAGACTAACATGTGGCATCTGTTTCTATTTAAATGTTTCTAATAGGCTCCTACCACAGTAGGAATAATTTCACAATATTTGGGATTTTCTCAAAAATGTTACCAAATTTTTTGAAAAAAAGAAGAAAAGCAACTTTAGAGAAACTGATGCCTGTATTGATGTAGCAATAGCAACAGCAATAACACTTAGACTTATATAATGCTTCATAGTGCTTTCAGCCCTGTCTAAATATTTTACAGAATCAGCATATTGCTCCCAACAATCTAGGTTCTCATTTTACTGACCTCAAAAGAATGACAGGCTGAGCCAACCTTGAGCTGATCAGGATGGAACTGCTGGCAGTAGAATGCAGAGTTAGTCTGCAATACTACATTCTAACCACTGCACCACCACAGCTCTTATATAACACATTTGTGGGCACATAACTTTTCTAACATCTTAAAGGTCATTGAACTGAACTCAAAGCTCGTGTGGATAACATAAAGGTATAAGCAGAACAATGCCACACTTTTATGAAAGTTCAAGTATTAAAGATATTTATTTATTTATAGGCTGCCCTTCTTAAGCAATTTTGGTTGCTTACAATGTATTTCAGATAGCACTGGCTGATTATGTATATATGAGCATAGTCATATATTTCTGTTCATGTGAAGAAACATCCTTCTCCTCTTCAACTTCTGTGTAGCTTGATTGATCAATCGATCAATTAATTCATTGGATATAGTCACCCACCTTGCCTTAGTAATTCCAAGCAGCTAACAATATATAAAAGCACAATCCGAATAAATAATAAAACAGCATAAAAACCCTATGAAGGCAGACAAGATAAATCTCTACAATAACTTTAACCATAACCATATCCCACTATTTACCTGATTCCCAAGCCTGAAACATATTTATGTCTTCAAAGATTTTAGAAAGATTAACACATTGGCATTCCATTGGAAACTACTTTGTGCTATTTGCTGGGAACTTGAAAACTAATAAGTTATGGTGGAATATATGTGATAAGAATGATGTAAGGCGTCCCAGAGCCTCCCAGAGGAAAGCAAAGCAGAGGGGTCGCCAAGAAAGGGACAAATCTCTTGAATAATGGCAGCTGACTGCAGTTTGATTTAAGACCCAGCCCTGACACACATGTCTTTGCTGGAAACAATTGTCTAGTTTCTAGCTCTTGCATAACAATTCACATGGATTCTTCCCACAAAATTCTGATCTCTGGACTGACTGACAATCCTCACCCAGCTCTTGGAGTGGTTTTGGAGTGTTCTTCACTCTTCATTAGTCAAACACTCTGTTTTGACTTGTATGCTTTGGTTGTAGTTACCTCTTTTACTTTGAGTAGCCTGTGAATTACCACCGCAACTTTGTGTGGGTCAGTATTTGAAATCAGAAGCAGAACAGTTTATTTCCAGTCTCATTAACCCTGAGCTGACTTTGGAGTGAAACTTTAACTAACAGCCACACTGCGAAAAATAAACAGCACAGAGAAATTGCCATTGGGAACACCCAGCTGACTCAGCAGCTTGCTTTACTCACAGCCCAAATGCAAACATTACAAGTCCAGTCAACATAAGCAGTGACTTTAGCAGCAACCACTCCCCACTCTTGTAGAAAATTTCCTATTGCCTGTCTACAAAAGTCTCATGGGATGCTGTATCAGTTTCTTACCTGTGGGGCATATTTCAATCTATATATGAACATGCATGGGGAGGATTTTCCAACAGACATTAAGGTGGGTTTATTCTGGAATTGTTACTACTAGGCCACACCATTGTTAACACAACAGAGCCCCTTTCTCAATGTCTGCTAAATTTAACTAACAGATCTAAACCCATTTGTTCTGACCCTGTGACAACACATTGACAAAATTTGAGAACTGAAACAAGGGTGATTATGTAAGAGCTTTCCAGCTAATCTCCCAAGATCTGGCCTGGATGAAGAAGCAGCACTTATCAATCAGTATCAGGAAAGGTTGGCAGATGAAATTCTGGATGAGCTAACAAGACATTCAGGAAGTAATTCAACTGTGTCTTATAATAGTTAACAACAGCAAAAACTAGAGCTTGAGCTAACAAGAATCTCTGCCCACTGAACTAGCAAACATCTTTGTCAAGTGTAGCTGTCCTTACCTAGCCTTGAGAAAAGATCTCCAGAGGAGCTCATGTAGATCAGGGATTCTCACCGTCATCTGACAGAAAAGGCACAAAGGGGCACAAATGGTTTGTGTTTATACTGTGGGGGCCAGCACCACCAAGCTTCCATATGCTCTGCCAAGAAACCAGTTCACATATTTTTCTAGGTAGGTTGTAATGAAATATTTTTATGCATTGCACAGAAGCATGACTTCAGTAGCCACATTCATAAATAGCCTGCATTATAACCAGAAATGTTTGTAGGCACCTCTAATTAGTTTAGAAAGAGCAAAGTTCTGAATTACCTCAAGAATTATATTAGACATTCCAATGCAATAATTGTGGAACCCACCTGATCTATTTTAAGATTTTAAGAACAAAGCTTGTATCTCTGTATTGTTCAAAAGCAGATAAATATTACTAAAAAAGCTGTGGCGGGGAGAGAGATAGTATCAATTAAGTAAATGTAGGACAGATTTGAAATTAGAATTCACATTTTCAGGGTATTGTCGATGAAACTTACTTATGCCATACAAAATGCCGCTTATCAAAATAGAACATTTCAGTTTTCTGATACAGAGCTGATACAGTTTTACTTTCTAAAAAATATGCCCATAACTATAACATACAATTATGCTTTCACTTGATTTTGTATGTTATCTATTTAGTTGTCACAGGAAACATAGTAATAACCAGTTGTCTACTGTTAATTATCAACAGCTTGTGCACATTTAAGATCAAAATCTTTAGCTGGTGCACATTTGTACAGCCTCATTAACTGCCACAGGAAGTGTTGATTTCCTGCAGTCTTTCCAAATATGGCATCCCTTGGATATATTGGGAATTAAAGTAACAGGGAATTCTGGAAGTTGTAGTCAAGACCCTTGTGAAGCATATCAAATTGAAATAATAATTGATTTCATGGTTGATCACCAGACTTGCACATTCATTTATACATCTTTTTCTAACTCCCTTTTTTGATCTTTTCAGATTTGTTCAAGGAATACTGGGGAAAAAAGTAAGTAAGCTGAGTTTTCTTCAATAGAACAGTATATATAATTACTTTATATCTTATGTTTAGGTTTTTTATGCAACAAAATGATCTTGCAATATGAAACATGTACTGCCTAGATGTTTTATATTGAACTCCTGTTCCTATAACTGCTATAAGTCATGGATTATAAGCGCTCATTCAGATAGGACAATAGGATGTCTCATGTTTTGCCTAGAATGGTATCAGTCTACAGAAGGTGTTGCGTTAGTTTTTAAAGCTCTGCCAAAAGTGAAAATCAAACGGAAAGTTCTAATCTATTAGAAGGAGAACATTATTAAACATCAGCTACATTTAATTACATGTGAACACTATGCAGCTATAGTTTTATCCTGGTCTTTATATTTTATTCTTCAGTTCCAATCCAATTTCTTTTTTTGTGTGTGGGACTCCGTACGGAACCAATCTTTCTTTCACGTTACATAGCTTTCTTCTCATTTTCAGATTGACTTCTAAAATGTTGGGGTAATGTTGGGGTGTAGATCAAAGGATGGGCCACAGGTGATGAGAGGAGATAGAAAACTTTATCTTTAACAAAAAAGTAGCCACAATGACAGCCAAAGAGTTGCTTCAGTTACAATCACATTTTTGGCGGGAATGAATTCTGAACTTAAGAACACTAATTTCAGTGAATGTAATGAAGGTTAATTTCATTGTCTCTTTTATAAACCATTTTTATGAAATAGGCCATATCAGTGGCTTATTTCACAGGCTTGTTATGTGGATATTTTGTTTTGATAGAGAGATGGGAAAGTATTCATCACTGGTGCTTTCCGCAAATAGCAATTCTGCCTTATTTATTTAACTCATTTTCTAGATAACTTCCCACAGTATATCTTTTAGACTGCATTTAGTTATCATTATAAATATATAAAAATAATAACTGTTTTATATACATATTGATTTTGTGCTATATATGAATTAACAGACTTTCTAGAATCAAATATCACTATATATATATATAATTATTAATTAAAGCCTGAATTTGCATACACTTGGTGCTTTATTTTTACTAGTGATAATCACTATTTTGCTAGGTTACATTATTTTTTTCATAATAATGGGATTGAAAATGATCTTAAAGCCTCTTTTAATAATGGTTTAATACATGATACATATGCAGCAACAGGTATAGCTTAAAATGCTGTTGTGCTCACATAATTATTGTCTATTTGTTCTATTACTTGAATATCCCTAGTATCCAAGAATACTTCCTATAGTAACACCCCGTTTTGGGCTATCTTGTACAGAGGAGTTACTTAGTAGCCTTGGTAACCTGGCAGAGACTCATGATATTCATATACAGGTAAACCTTTTGTTATTGTATTTACTAAAATGTTCTTCATCCAGCAGTTTTCATAGTACTAATACTCTCTCTCTAAAGTTAAATTGTGTGTCTCTCTCTCTTTTTATAATCTGCCCTATCCAATGATGGGATTCAAAAAAATTTACTACCGGTTCTGTGGCTATGGCTTGGTGGGCATGGCAGGGGAAGGCTACTGTAAAATCTCCAGTCAGAGGTGATAGTTGCCAGTTCTCCAAACTACTCAAAATTTCTGCTACCTGTTTTTCAGAACTGGTCAGAACCTGCTGAATACCACTTCTGGCCCTATCTAATCTTCAAACCTTCAATCATAACTTCATTTTTTTAACAGAAAAAGTCCATAAGGGCTTTCCAGTCACAAGTAGATGTATATACTGTCTTTTCTCTATTCAAACAAGTCAGTGCTGGCAGCTGAAGGGCCACAACACTCCCACACACTCCTTTTATTTATTTATTTATTTATTTTACTTGTCAAGCAAGTATTAGATAACAGGTATAAGTATAAGCATGGTTATGAATACATGAAATGGATAAGAATAAAAAAAAACCCAATTGGACATGGATGGTAGGCACATTGGTGCACTTATGCACTACAGACCTCTTAGGAAAGGGGTGAGGTCAAGAGTAGACAGTCTAAGGTTAAAGTTTTTGGGGTTTGGGAAAGAAACCACAGAGTCAGGTAATGTATTCCAGACACTGACCACTCTGTTGCTGAAGTCGTATTTCCTGCAATCAAGTTTGGTTCAGTTTACCTTAAGTTTGTATCTATTGTGTGCTTTTGTATTGTTATGGTTGAAGCTGAAGTATTCATTGACAGGTAAATCATTGCAATGTATGATTTTATATACTATACTTAGATCGGACCGAAGGTGGCATAATTCTATGTTTTCTAGGTGTAGAATTTCAAGTCTGGTGGCATAAGGTATTCTGCTATGAGTAGAGAAGTGGAGAACTCTTCTTGTGAAATATTTCTGGACTTTCTCAACTGTATTAATATCCATTATGTAATGCGGATGCCAGACTGATGAGCTGTATTTGAGTATTGGTCTAGCAAATGTTTTGTATGCTCTAGTTAGTAGTGTGATATTATCAGAGAAAAAGCTACTCAGAATTAGGTTAACAACTCTTAATGCCTTTTTGGCTATGTAGTTACAGTGGGCTTCCTTTCATTCACTTATATTTTTTTAGTTCTCCTTCTGGAAGCTCCAGTGATCAAGTTGAGAAGAGCAGGTTACTCTGCCACTCAGCCTCCCTCAGTTCCTCAGTCCTCCCTCCATCAGCCTCCCTCAGTCCACATGTCTCTGTCCTGGAAGCAGGTTACTTTTTTAGGAGAATCACCCAGAAAGATTTTGCTGCAGTTGTCTTGTGTTTTTACTATACACGCTACTGCCTACGTAAAAGTCAGTGGCATGAATCTATTCAGATGCAGCATTTGAAGACCATTGTGTTTGTAAGCTGGCCTTGAGATGAGAACAGAAAACTATTCTAGGTAATTTGAGAAGGCTATTTTGATGCTAGATACCATTGTGTTGCTCCTTTTCCTTGTTTTTCCATTAACCTGTCTTTTAGGTAGAATAGATCTCTTTCAAAAGCACTCTGATGAGTCAATCAGCCTCTGACATTTCCTTTGAGAAAAATAAACCACATGCGAGAGCTTAGGACTGGTGTATTGCTATTATGTTGACATTTAACTTGTGGGAAATGGGAATTCATTACTATCAGGTTGTGATTCATATCGCTTTAAAATTTGTACTGTTATAGTTTCATGGATTGGGTAAGCTGGGAATGGAGTTATTTATTTTTATTTCCTGCCTTGATTACTTTTTTTTATAAATAAGTCAAGGCAGCAAATAAGTCCTTCTTCCTCCTGTTCTCCCCACAACAACAACCCTGTGAGGTGAGTTGGGCCAAGAGAGTGAGATTGTCCGAAGGTTACACAGCTGGTTTGTTTGCCTAAGGTGGGACTGCAACTCACGGTGTCCTGGCTTCTACCTTGAGACCTAACTACTAAGCCAAAGTGGTTCTTTAATTGTTATTAATTAATTAATTATTAATTCTTTCCTTTCATGCAACAAAACACGAGAGAACTTCAAAGAACACAATTCAACGTTCACTTTGTGGTTCTTTGAGAAAAAGATAGTTGAGTCTATGAAATAACAGCTCATTATTAATATAAAGAAAATGGCTCTTTGCTCTCCAACAATTGCACACACCACAGCAGAGCAGATCTACACAGAATTCTTTATTACGATACACACCTTCCCCAACAACAAGCTCTTGCTCTGTATTGTCACTCCCCCCTTCTAGGATCTTGAAAGGCGACGTTGCCACGTGAATGTCTTTAATGATGAGACCTTTACGCTCAATCTTTTGATATTCAGTCCAAGCAAAACTCTCAAAGTCTTTAAAGCAGGGGTGTCCAACCTTGGCAACTTTAAGACTTGTGGACTTCAGCTTTGCTGGCTGAGGAATTCTGGGAGTTGAAGTCCACAAGTCTTAAAGTTGCCAAGGTTGGACACCCCTGCTTTAAAGTAACACACAATCTTTTTGCGTTTTCCCAGACATTTTTATTCTAGTTGGGATGAGTTGCTTTTCAGTGTGATTGTTCCTAATCTCTGAGCTCCAGGTAAAGGTCCAGGCAGGACTCCTATCAGGATAGGCTGCTCACCATTGGTTGTGGTACTGGCGATTGAATGAAAGTCCCCTTGCCTGCTTGTAATAGCTGCCAATTTGCAGGTGTCATCTTGACTTTCTCATCTGTAGGCCTTTTACTTTTACCTTTCCTGGAACACACACACACACACACACACACACACACACACACACACACACACA